CGTGTGCAAAGCACGTCATCTTGGCCGAACATCAGTCATGCCTGTGATTTAGCTTCAAGCGTGCTGGAAAAGAGTATCGGACACCTCCCGCTTCCCTACTGGGAAGTTGGTGCTGCCTCAGAAGTGGGGTGCTGTCCAAACCCAGGAAGGGGTTCAGATGCCGAGAGGCACAAAAGAATGGCAAGTACCCCGTACCATAGAGCAAACAAATACGATACAGCTTGTTAGTCTAATAGTATGGATGAAGGGACCTGAGATACATATATTTGAGTAACTGGCTTTAGGGTGCACAGCTACTAAGTGGTAGTTACATGCAAACTCAGGTCTATGTATCTGTGTCTATACATCTGTAGAGAGACCTGAGTAATGCATTTTTTTTTTTTCCTATGGCTTGGACTTTGGAGGCTGTTCTAGTTTCCTAGGGCTGCCATGGCAAATTATCATAAACTAGGTAGCTTAGAACAACAGAAGTGTATTCTCCTACTGTCCTGGAGGCCAGTTCAAAATTAAGGTGTTGGCAGGGCCATGCCCCTTCTTAAGGCTCTGGGGGAGGATCCTTCCTTGCCTCTTCTTAGCTTCTTGTGGTTGCTGGCAATCCTTGGTGCTCCTTGACGTGCAGATGCATCATTCCAATCTCTGTTGTCATGTGGCATTTCTCCCCATTGCATCTGTGTCTCTGTGTGTAAGTTTCTCTCTTCCTGTAATGACATCTATCATATTGGATTTAGGGCCCTCCATAATCCAATATGTTGTTATCTTAATATATCTATAAAAACCCTATTTCCAAACAAGGTCACATTCACAGGTTCTAGGTGGACATGAATTCTGGGAGACACTTTTCAACCCAGTATAAAGGCCAAGGTTCATGTTGGGTCATATATCACAAGAACTTCTCCCAGGGATTAATTTTGTGAGGTAGAGGTGAACAGAAAGACATAGAAATGGGCCTCAGTCTTAACTGATTTCTTTGGCCCCTGAAGCCTTAAGGGAGCCTCTGTGTAGATTTCCTGAATGTGAGCATGAAGGCAGATGGTGTGTCTGTGCCAGGATTCTCCCGAGCTTCAATAGAGTCTGCTCCTGAAGGAGTACGGGAGAGAGATACCAGAGTCAGCAGAGGAAAATGCTTTCATTTGGTATGAAAGCAAAGTACAGCTTTCAGGGAGAGCCAAAAAGACTGAATAAATAATGGTCTCAGACTGTTTGACTGTTTTTTAGGGCATTTGGGAATGAGAGAGCTGGGGGCTTTAATGCAATAGACAGACTTCTGGCCAAGGTATGTGTGCTTAAAGCCTATCTCTGCATCTTTCAAGATGGTGACATGTGCCCTTAATTTTTTTGAGGTTAATTTTAAATTGGGGTAAGAACACTTATATAGTGGCTGTAAGAATTTAGCGAGCTACATAGGGCAGCTACATAGTCTCAGCACAGCATCAGAATGCTGTGGACGGGCCTCACTGGGGTATCTGAATCCGAGATCATCGATCAAAGATATGACTTACCCAGACTTGTTAGGGTGACTGGGTTCTGTTACTTTAACAGTCAACCCCCAAACCTCGTAAACGACCAGAGCTTTATGTCTCATTTAATCCATTAGGGGTCAGCTGAGGGCTGCGCTTTGTCTCATTTTCACCCTGGGACCCAGACTGAAGGAGCAGCGTCCACATGCAACATGCAGGGAAGAGAGAGTGGCATACCACACCCCTGGTTCTTAAACCTTTTGCCTGAAAGTGACCTGTGGTATTTCTGACCACATTACATGGGCCAAAGCAAGTCATGTGGGTGGTCACTCCTAATTTTAAAGAGCAAGGGAATGAGATTCTACCATGTGCACATAAGGAGAACCAGGAATAGTTGGTAAATGGCACTAATGACCATCATACCAGATGCCACTTTTGCAAAATCATTAAAGAAGGGACAGATTGCTAAGATGATATTGTCAGTGCATCAGCTGTGCATGTGAGGGAACTAGGGAAGAAAAAGAGGGGTTTGAAGGATTAATATTTCACTACTATGGTTTTATTGGTTATCTTACTATTAATTTCGGCCTGATGGATCGCCTGCTCACTGGATGCAAGCCAGTTTAGAAAGTTCCTAGGGTTGAATTTCTAAGCCTTCATGTTCCCTCTAGGGCAGTGCCGTGAAGGACCAATCTGGAGCAGCTACTGACTTTGCTAAAGAATTAGATAGAACACTCTATGCAACAATAATTTCTAAAGTAGGTGACTTGGTTTTAATATCTGCTTTCCAGGATAAAAATGTAAGTAGACAAGATAAAAATCAATAAGAAGCAGTTACAAAGGACCCAACAATCTATTAATAAGCAGTTGTAAGTACTGTACTAGAACCTGATCTTTTCTAGCACTAGACCAGGAATTCGGCTCCGATGAACTTAGAACTTGGGCTCTGCTTTTCACTTAATTTCCTAAATCTGAGCTGTTGACAGCCACTCAGATTCAGTGGTGGTTTGGGTTTAGAATGGAATTGCCAGTAAATGTTGAATTTCATATAACTTCCATAATTTTCTTAGCCTCAGTTCCCTAAATCACAGATCCTAGGGCAGAGGCTTAGGCGCTAGTACTTTATTAGGGAGGGCAATCTCAGGAAAGCACAAGTAACGGGGAGTGAGGCCAGGAAGAAAGGAGAGAGAGAAAGAGAGAATAAGAGAGCATATTACTGAGCTCGCCACAGCTCTATGAAAAACTGATTGCTTGGTGTCTTTCAAAGAGGCGTGTGAAGCCACTTGATCTCCAAGTAGTTCATATAAGGGGAGGAGAGGAGAATGATTTGTCCATTGGCCGCCATCTTGCATTGGTCAAAGTTTGCCTCCAGGGGGTGTCAGCTCCCTTGCACTTCAAGGGCACACATGGATGAGGGCTGAGCAGGTGTTGTAGTGCTTGCCTCCCGCCTCACACACAACAGGGGAACTAGGCAGGAGGCAAGGAACAGAATGCATGGGGCATGAGTGGGGAGAGTGGTTTTGTCCTGCCCCTGACCAGTCTGAGGAATGAAAGGAGCCCCCGCAGCAGACTCCTTAGGCAGCAGGGGCTGCAGCAGCAGGAGCAATGAAACTCAGGTCCTGGTTTTGAAGATCAGCACACCCTCTTTCTAGGGCCACTCCAGCCAAACAGCGAGGTAAATGTTCCATCCTGGCATGACGCAGAACCCGAATGGATTATAAACACCACCCCAGCCGGGAACCTGGGAGTCAACCTAGACCTTTTCTTTTCCTCTCCAGTCTCCAAATCCTTCAGCTTCTATTAACTTAGCATTTTTGCAACTCTTCCATTCCCCTCTGTCCCCCAGCTCATTCTCAGTTTTCCTTCTTAGTGTACCTTTTCTGGAATGTTGCCAGTCTTCCAGTTAGTTTCCCTACTTGGACCAGAGTGAAAATATCTTTGGCTTTACACAGGAGAAGCTCCCCACTCAAGTTGGCTAGAACAGTTGAAGGTGGTATGCCTGCAAGGTGTTTTAACCCAGTTACTCGGAACATCACACCCTAGTTTAACCATGTCCAAAAAGGAAGAGGCATCTTTTCTGTGTGTCTGTCTTAGGGGGGAGGAACTATTTCCCAAAAGCCCCCAGCAGACGTCCCCTCAGGTCTCATTAATAACATTATATCACACACCCAAGCCTCAAGCCATCGTTGGCAAGAGGAAGGGAACTAGCTAAGTTTGTGCTAGATGGTTCAGGATCCCTCCCTGAGACTGGGGGATGGTAAACCACATGCAGGAGAATAAATACTCACTAATACTGAGGTCCTGAGAGGAAGGAAGAAGGGACTGATATTGGTTAGGAACCACCTGGATTTGCTCTGCTTCTCCCAAGCTCTGCTTACTCCGAGTTTGTGCCCTCCACCCCATGCCACCAGTGTGATGCTATTAAAATGCAACAGTGACCTGAAACTAATATAACATTGTGTGTCAGCTATATGTAAATTAAAAATTTTTAAACAAAAAATAAAATATGTAAAAAATGCAACAGTGAAAGAATTCTCCTGTTGAAACATGTTATGATCCTTTTTTGCTTAAGATTCCAGTCCAAGCTCTTGGTCTTGTCTGTAAGACTGTCATGATCAAGTATCTGCCAGTTTCTCCAGCTTCTGGTCGTGCCATGTTCATATTTCATGTGTCAGCCTACTTCTACCTCTAGCATACAGATCGTGCTCCTGAGGAAATTTACTGTCTCCTAAATGTGACTGGCTCTGTTATTCACAGGTGCTCCAGCCACTCCCTCAATGCCAAGAGCACAGCATTGACTCAACTTTCAATTTTCATTGCTCTGTTTACCTCACTGAAGTCTTTCCAGACTCCTTGATGGAATATTCATCCTTCATATTCTCGCTGTGCCCTTTATATCCTTCGATCATTGCCAGTGTAACATATTGTCATGCTTCTTTCTTAGACATCTCTTTCTCTGTATTCATCTCTGCATTCCCAGCCCCTAGTAGTGCTTGGCACAGTGGGTAACATGAGGCATTTAATAGATGTCCGATGGAGTGTCTAAAGCTTTAGAGCTAGGTGCACTCATCCAAGACCATTGGCAGCATATGAAGGGGGTTAATCATCAGAAGATAAACTAAGAGTGATCAACATACTCTGTGTTTTCCATAATCATGGGAGAACTGGGGGAAAGGTGGTTAAAAGATTGGTGATGGGTTTATCTATCCTCTTCCAGAAGACCAGGCAGGATGAAGTAAGGTTTCCTAAGCACTAATTATGCATTATTTAAATACAGACAGCTCTTTGGTTGAAACCAAGTTTCACTGCACAGCAGATGTAGAATCCTGTCTTCTGAGGAGCTATCACGGCAGGATTCTTAGGCCGTAATGAAAGCGCTAATTATCTATACAAGATTTAAGTCTTCTTAAGGGATGTCTTCTGCAGGCCTTGAGATTATTTGGAATTTTTCTTCTCTGACCACAAAAGGCCGTGCAGTTCCTTCATTCTGTTACCACCTAGAAGGTTTTTATTTATTTATTTATTTATTTATTTTTTCACACGGACAGTAGCATTTATTTTGAAGAGCAATTGTAAGGTGTGCTCGATGGCGCGAATGCTCCGTACAGACATGAGTGGGCGCTAATAAGGAAGCCCACAAACGACGACGCGGAGGAAAACCGAATTCCGCCAAGAAAACCACCACAACCGTTCCGGCATCACTCTTCTTTTCTTTTCCTTTCTCTTCTCTTCTCCTGTAGGGTTTTCAGGTCAGCCATCACATCCAAAGTCTTTCGGACCCACATAATCACAATGATCATGGCGTTGAGCAGCAGTGGTGCCAAAAACACTATGGAAATGAACATCCCCCGTGAATCGAAATACTGGTATTTTGAAAGTAACCTCCAGTTCATTGCTGCTACTTCGTTGATATATTCAGCACAATACACTAAAATTACTAAGCACAGGAAATGTCCAACCTGTACTTCGTACCTCTGGGATGACAGACATGTGAGCAGCAGGCACAGTATGTGGAAGACAGCCAGCCCTATGAGCCAGGGCTCGGTCCAGTCTGTCTGCTGTAAGACACACTGCTTGAAACTCATCATCTCATGGTCGTCAACTCAAACGGGGGCCAGGCTTCACGACTCCTGGGTCAGGGAGGGCAGTGGTCCCTCACTCCTGAGCATCCAGAGCCCTTCCCCAAGGCCGTGATCACGGCAGGAATGCTGACAGGGAAAGAGCTGACTGAGAAGGCGGACGGCATCGTCCCTGGAAAACCCCACCCTCACCACCACCGTCTTGCCATCCCCGCCCCGACCCAGAAGGTTTTTAGTCCATCTGTCAGTCAAGAGTTGGGACAGTGGCAGAGTCAGGTGCAGTCCATGGAGGAAGACAGTCCATGGCAGGTAATGGTCGTAGTGTGCACAGTACTGCAAGAGCGTGGGGCGTGGATCGCTGTGGGTGGTTTGGTGGGGGAGTCTGCAGTTTTAATAAGAGGATGGCCGGAAGAAGCACTGCTGGCCATGGAAGTGGACAGGTGGGTTGGGCACAGAATTTAGGCATACAGGGCAAAGAAAAATTGCAGTTGGGGGATTGTAATTCAGATCAGCAATTGATATGCTCAAGCAAAGAAAGAAAGAATGCATAAATAATAAATAATAACTGGCATAACTCAAGGAATGGATTGTGGGATGATCGGGACCTCACTCTTGGAAGGCAGTTACAAAAATCCAGGGGCAAAAAGAAGGCTACATGTGGCCAATATTACTGTAGCCTGAGCAGTACAAGGAATAACGTAGCTGGAAGATGAAGGGAGTGGTTAAGAGAGCAGGGTTTGAATTAGGTATGTTGTTTTTTTTTTTATTTCATCTCTGCCATTTATTAAGTACACAGCTTGAACTTCATCAGATTCTCAGCCTCTTTACAACATGGAGAAAATAATAGTGCTCTGATTATAGAGTTGTCCTTGCAAGTAAATAAGGTGATGCCTACACAGGCCTAACAACATAATAAGTATAAAACAAATGGTACATATTTACTTTATTTTTACTCCATTTTTCAAGAATAATTTTATTTCACACTTCCATAAAGACCCAGATATTCCTCATTAGTTTTAATCTAGTAAATCCAGATAAAGAGCTTTGAACCCACTTGGAGCTTTTTTAGCCCTGTCCAAACATTTTGCAGGATTTCTTTGCCCAGGAAAACCACTAAAGCATGTAATTAAAGTCATCTGTATAAGCAAAAGGATGACCCTATCTTTTTAATATTTTTCAAACTTACTTTATTTACAAATAAATTCTCAGAATTTTTGGCCACTATTACATGGACCAATTGTTGACTTTTCCCTATTCGTTCTGGCAGGATTTCACACCATTTTCTTATGCTCCCCATATAAGCCCCAAATTAGCCGTGTCTTCGGTTACGGCCTGTGTATCCAGGGGCGGCTGAGGATGTATTCTGTCTCCAGAGGAGCATTGTATACAAGAGCCAGCTGGATCATAGTGTAATGATAATCTGGCAATATAAAAAGTGTTATCCTTTGAAGGATGCTTAGGATCACTAGATTGGAGAGGATGTGTTATGCTGGTAGAAGGTGCTTTTTCAGGAGGTAATATTTTCTGGGTAATGGATTGGTTCCCAATTTGTGGTGGTGAGACA